AAGGCTTTTTCCACTCTCTGTAAGGCAGCTCTTGCCTCAGGAGTGAGCCTCCTGTGGGAGGCTATATCTGGGTCTCCCTTCAGAAGGTCGAACAGGGGTTTGAGATCTGAATTTGGTATATGTAAATATGGCCTAATCCAATTAATGTCTCCCAATAGCTTTTGTATGTCATTTAGGGTCCTAACGCCATCCGTCCTAATGGTGACCTTCTGTGGAGAGACTAGCATAGGGGAGATTTTCGCGCCTAAGTAGGTCACCATTTCTCCTCCCTGAATCTTGTCGGGGGCAACATGCAGATTAGCTTGTCTCAGGGCCTCGACCAACTGGCCGAGCATATTATTTAGCATGTCTGGGTCCCTGCCGCTGAGTAAAAGGTCGTCCATGTAATGCACACATCTTATCTTGGGAAAGGATTTCCGTAGGGGGGCCAGTAGGGAATCAAGGTAAATCTGACACATAGTGGGACTGTTGGCCATACCTTGGGGCAGCGTTATCCACTCGTATCTGAGATCAGGGCTTTCTTGGTTAATGGTGGGTAAAGTAAAGGCGAACCTATGAGTGTCCTCTGGATGCAGGGGGATTGAGAAGAAACAGTCTCTAAGATCTATAACATAAACTGGCCAGGACTGAGGGATGGCTGAGAGAGCTGGCAGCCCCCTCTGGACCGCCCCCAGGGACTGCATCTGCGCGTTGACCGCCCTTAGATCATGGAGCAGCCTCCACTTGCCAGACTTTTTCTTAATTATAAAAATGGGGGTGTTCCATGGGGAGGTTGACGGCTTAATGTGTCCTAATCTAAGTTGTGTACTGACTATTTCTGACAAGGCTAATAGCTTCTCCTTAGGCAGGGGCCACTGAGGTACCCAAACCGGATCATTTGACCTCCAGGTGATTTTGATCGAAGTGGGTAGGAGAGCTTCTTCAGCGGCCCCTAAGAAAAACCCAGCCCTTGCCTACCTTTTTTGTTCTCTACTGGTATTGGGGATGTCCGACCCTGTAGGGCATTGCCCAAGCCTTTGCCGGGGGTATATCCCTGGTTCCTGAGTATATCCTTAGCCTGGGGGGAGCAGTTTGACGTAAGCGTGACATCCATCTGAGTGAGGATGTCCCTTCCCCATAGAGACACTGGCAACTGCAACACAAATGGTTGGAAATGGCCCTGATGACCCTCCTCATCACACCAGAGCAGGGTTGAAGCACTAACCTGAGGAGCTGACACCATCCCCAGGCCCTGCAGCGTGTTATCTGCAGTGTTGGTGGGCCAGTTGGAGGGCCAATCCTTTCTAGAGATAATGGAACGGTCAGCTCCTGTGTCTAGGAGCCCTGTTATATTCTTGCCATTGACCTTAAGTGAGAGCATGGGCCTTTTATCAAGTATTATATGGAGTCCCTCGAAGACTTCCCCTGAGGAACCGAAACCTTGACTTTCTCTAATTTTCTGCTTTGAGGGAAATCTCCTGTGGAGACTGGGGAGCAGCAAGAGCTGCGCTATCTTGTCTCCTTTATTGATTACCATAGTACCCACAAGAGATTGAACCATAATTTTAATGTGTCCTGTGTAGTCTGAGTCTATGACCCCCGGGACTACTATGAGACCCCGAAGGGCCGTGGAGGATCTCCCGATCACCAGACCCACGGAATTTTCGGGTAACGGTCCCTTAAAGGTGGTTTCAACCACTTGAACACCCATATCAGGCGCTAATATAAGTCTGGAGGCGACACTGAGGTCCACACCTGCTGACCCAGGGGTGGCCTTTGTTGAAGGCTGCCATCCTGAGCTGTCCTGTCTCTGGGGCGGGGGCCCGCCTGTGAAGGGGGCCCCCTCTGGCCGTTTTTTGGCCCTCTAACATCTCGTCCACAAATACGGTTGCCCTGAGCGTCAAAGACCGACCTACACTCCTCAGCTTTGTGTGATCCCCTCTTGCATCGCCCACAAACATATGGTTCTTCATTCCTAGGGCGAGGCCTAGCATCTGCATTGTTTGGGCAATGACGTTTAATGTGTCCTGGCTTCCCGCAGGCAAAACACCCTTTAGCCTTACATTCCCCTTCTAACCCGCGAGGTCCCCTCTGCTGTACAGCCGCGGCCAGGAGAGCAGCCACTCCCGAGTTGGAGAGCGGCCCCCCTATCTCTCTATATATCCTAATCCAGGCGTTGAGGTCCTTGTTCTTATGAGGAGCTATCGCTGCCTTGCACTCCTTTGTACATTGCTCAAAAATCAGCTGCCTTACCAGCGGTCTAGCCACTCTCGGATCAGAAAATATCTTATCGGCAGCATCTTGCATTCGGGCCACAAAGTCAACAAATGGCTCTGTGGTACCCTGAATTACTGGGAAAGAACCCTGCGACTCCTTATCGAGTGACTTAGGCTCCTGACAGCTGGTCTCTTTGGCCTCCTTGCCATTCAACTTTCCCTCGTCCTCGGAGTCAGACGACTCCGAGGCTAGAGCCCCGTCCTTCTCCTTAGCATCTTTGTTCCCCTTGACGGGCCCCTCTCGGGAGCTCCCTGACTGGGCCTGCTCAAATACCCTGCGTACTTTTGTAAGCTCTTGAGAGCTTTCTCCACAACCACCCTCGCTCTTAGTGTTGCTACCTAGCATGTTTCCCATCTTTTAATATGTTACTCACCGCGTGAGGCCCAAGGAATCCGCCACTTACGCGTGAGCCTGAGGGGAGTCTAAAAGCCCTGTAGGTGCGCGCCACCCAGAGCCCAGGCTTATCCCCAACTCACCTGTCTCGCAGCTCTGTACTGGAGCGTTGTCCACTGTCACGTCTCGGGGGTGATCAGTCCCCGTGCGGGCCTCCAAATGTCGATGTCGCTTCCGGCCGGCAGGAAGGACACACGACAAAGTCTGGCAGTGGACAACCTTTTCTTTTATTTTCCTTCTCCGTACAGCCTGCCCTGGGATCGCTCCCAGCCGAAGCCTCCTTTGGTCCGCTCCCCGCGGCTCCTTTTGGGCTTCTACTTCCGGGCTTCTCCTTTCCCCCCAGGGGTGGCACCAGTATATATACAGATACAGTGTCCAATCATGTTAAAGTGAGCAAGGCAAGCTGATTGGCTAACATCATCAGTTGCCAGGCAGACTATATTGTTGAGCGGGTTGCTTACGCGGTAAGCAGGAAACTAACGTGCTCGATGGGAGGGGTAATCTACCTCAGGCTTTACTCTTTACTACAGGCCTCACGTCCGCCAAGTGAGGCGACCGGGCTCGGGGCTGCGGCTCCCAACACTTCCCCTTTGAACCTCTCCTCCGTGGAAGTGAGTGTGGAGGACTGATTTGGGATTCTGAAGTATGAATAAGGTGACCTAAGGGAAACAAGTGTTTCATAGCACTGTCCCTCCTTTTAGCTTTCCTTTCCCTAGGAATCCCTTTCCATAACCCTGACCTTTATGCCATTGTTTTGGTTTTCTGATTCTTCCTTCTTCTATGAAAGAATCAAGCACCACTTGACTCAGATTACATTTCACTTTCTCTTTTAAAACCAGTAATAGTTTTTTGTTTTTTTTTTTTTTTTTAATTTAAGAGGAAAAAGAGAAAAACACAAAACAGAACAAAGCAGTGTAAGGTTACACATAATACATAACTACAAAAAAAAAACATAACAGTAAGAAATCACCTGTTAATAGATTACATAATATCATCTTGGAAATAGTTGCTCAAATCACAGTATCAAAGAATACAAAGTAGACATTCAAACGGAGAGACTGCAAACAGCTGTGTTCAATGATCCAAAAACATTAATATAGTCAGCTATTTAACATCCCTAAACACACTTGTTGTTATATCCGTTAGAGCTCTTTTTTTTTTCCCCTCCCTCTCTTTTTTATAACAAAATTTATACATTTTGGATTTTATTACTCCTCAGTTCTCATTACTCTCTTGGGGGGGAGAGAATAAAGTCAAATATGGCAAAACAAAGCTGTAAGTCCAAACCAAGGATAGACATAGCACATGATGTAGAACAGAGTACAAGGTCATCAACAATGGTTATCAACATTGTCTCTTGTTTCCTTAAAAGGAATTGTCCATCTCATTAGATATTATAAAGCCGGACAAAACAGTGGAGAACAAGACCAATAAAACTTAGGCATTGTGAACATTACAGGACTTCCAAAGGAGACAATAGTCAAACCAGAATGGGCATCTTTGTGAATCTTATTGCCTTCAAATTAGTTGCCTATGCATGTGATAATCATGATTCCCCATTATGTGGCCTTGAAGCCTTATAAAATTTTCACTTATTAATTAGAAAGGCTTTACTCTGGGCTTTTTGATATGGAAATATTTGAAGCTATAGTATATGAAGTTTTATCCAAATATTTTAAGGAAAAAGACAGACACTATGGTAACTACTATTCTTTAAAAAAAATTATTTAGCTATTTCTTATGTTTATTTTAATTAAGGGAAAAACTTAAAAAATTAGGATATATAGTAGTAACTCTTTTTGATCTCCTATTAACTTGTTTTGAAGTCCTGTAATACTCCCAAGATCTTGTTTTGACTGATTAGACTCTGTTCCATTCTGTGCGACAGTAATAGTTTTTGTATGGTGTGGATCAGGTAGACTGACAGTTGAGGCTTCCTCCTCATCCGTAGGAATTGAATGCCCCCTGGTGGAAGCATTTGGTGATTGTTCATTGACTTCACTCACTGGAACCTGAGGTAATCAGAGGTTGTCACCCATCTGCCAGTTTTTCGTCCCAGGTTATCACTTTGATGAGAGCTAACCCTGCATATCAGGCCATTATTGGTTTCCAGAACTGCATTATTTTAATTGTAGGCCCTTGAGGGTACGTTATTCATACATGCTGTGGCATCGATGGCAAACCTTTTGGAGCTTTCAGTGATACAGACAGCCCACTGCTGCACATGTGCCACAAGTTCTTTACCACTGTGCTATAGTCTACATGTCATGGTAACATATACTTACTGGCTTTCTGATTACAAGAGTAAAAGCAGGAATGAGATTTCTTTTGATGTTAACTTCTTTGGACAGGCTACATCATATATTACAGTACAGATGTGAATGCGGAGATACACGACTGGGTTATTGAGCCTGTGGTAGGAAACAGACTGACTCACCAGATTCAAGAGCTAACACTTGACACGCCGTATTACTTCAAAATCCAGGCTCGGAACTCAAAGGGCATGGGGCCCATGTCTGAAGCTGTGCAGTTCAGAACACCTAAAGGTAAATCTCCCAGAGTTGAGGGTTTTGTTAATGTGTCTCTTTAGTGGGGCTGTGCTTATACATATCACTTTGGCAGATAGCATCTATGAGTAATATAAGTAATATAAGATGTCCTGTGGGTAATATACATCAGCCATAGTGTGAAGGTTTATCCCAATGGGTCCCTTACCCACCATCAAATCAGTACTACCGAGATTCCTGACCTAATTTTTTTTTTTTTTTTTAATCGGTACCAGGGATCAAACTCACAACTGCCTGCTTGCAAGGCATGCACTTATGCTGCTAAGCTAAACCCCAGCCCCAACTTTCTGGAGTTTGTTTTTTTTGTTGTTGTTTTTTTTGTTTGTTTGTTTGTTTTTTTGTCTTTTTCTTTTTTATCGGTACCAGGGATCAAACTCATGACCACACACTTGGAAAGCAGGCACTTATGCCGCTGAGCTAAATCCCCAGTCCCCTGACCTAACCATTTTACAGCAGGGCAACTTTGGCACCAGGATGTTTGGGGCAGATCAATTCCAATGCTGTACAAGTTTTTACCAATCAAATCAGATGTGATCCTTTTGTTTCCCATTCAAAGTGATACAGCATGGTACTGTGATAGATGATTTTCTTTCAACACACAGAGGCAATTAGACTAAAAAACTTATTTTTGGACCTTTGTAGAGAACAAGAGACTAAAAGGTTTTTATGCCATTGATTAGAAAATAAAGAATCAAAACTTTAGGCTAATGAAATTTAGTTGGGGGCTCAGTTTGTGGAATTATGGAAGCCCAGACATCTTTTCTGTTAGCACTAAAGAAGACTCAATTTGTTTGGAAGTTTGTGGGGGTTTTATTTTTTTTCTTTAAGTCTTCTGTATGTCCCATCTTCAAAGCTTGTGATCCTTGCTCTTGTTTTTTCTTCCCCTGTGCTTGGCCTGTTAGCGGACTCCTCTGATAAAATGCCTAATGACCAAGGTAAATGAGTAGATGGCCTCTCTTCTCTCTTTTGTGATCTGTTATTAGGTTATTTGTTTTTGTTTCCTTTTTTTAAAGTCAGTATCATGTATTAAAACCACATTATTTGTTGGCCAGTATGGAATGGAGTCCTGTGTTTGTAGCACGTGGGTTATCTGAAAAGCTGGAGCATTTACTTAGTAACTAAACAGACCAGTGTCAAAAAACTGAGTTGAATAAATCAAGTCCTCAGCTGTAGCAGACTTGGGCAGAAGTGTGGGCTAGATTATGTGCTGGGTTACAAGTTCTATAACAATGATGGGCACTGGAGGCATGAAGAGGCGCTTACACAAATTTTTCATAGAATTTCAGTATTGTCTCTAAATGAAAAGTTGTAGTCAAATTCAGTAAATATTATACCCCCCCAATCTACATGTTTATCTTACTAAGTTGCATGATTATCCATCTCCATGAATACTTTCTTTAATTCTGTTTCAGTGAGTTCATTTAAACCTCTTTCCATTTCTTCTCTTAAATGTATGTGATCATTTTAAAAGAAGATAATAAAACTATTAACAGAAACTTAGGAAGCATGAGCATTGATTGTTCTTGGAATCACCTGCCATCTGATCTCTCAGAGGTCATTTATAAGAATATAAATTTCATGATTTAAGAGTAGTTATTAGAAATACAGGACCTTTAAATCTTGGTTACTAAAACAGTCAGAAAAAGGAAGAGGTGTTAAGATTCAGGGTTTTGAACATGTGTTTGCATTCACTGAATCTTGTTGGACAGTGGGGGAAATTGCAAACGTGTGTGTGTGTGTGTGTGTGTGTGCACGCGCACATGCACAGAAGCATGAAAATATAAAAAAATAATAGTGACAGGGATGGAGTTCAGCAGCACAAGTGCCTGCCTGGCAAGCACAAGGTCCTAAGTTTGATTCCCAGTACCAAAATTATTATTGTTGTTATGTACATGCAAAGAATATGAATGTGCTCATTATTCTCTTCACTTGACAGCCACAATGCAATTCTTAGCTGCACCACACCTGGAGTAATTAAAATTCTTTACATATTGGTCCTTTTGGTGCTAGGTTGATCCTTGAATATTTTGCCCATAGTTTAAAAGAAAAAAATGTTGAGAAATAGAAGTATAAACTGATCAGTTTATTGCCAAAGTATTTTCTTAGCTATTATTTTCATGACATATGCTCTGCATAGTTTACTTAACTGTAGCTGATGATTACAAACACTCAGATATGAAGAATCTGAGTTTAGCCCTCCTAGCTAGACTCAGAGTGAAAAAAAACCACATGGATAACAAGAGGTGACACAAGATATATGCTTTCTGGGAAAATAATGGCACAGAATAAGTGGGTAAAGGAAGAAAAATATGGACAGTGGAAAAGGGCTCAGTGAATAAGTTAAATTCAGGAATGTGCCCTTTTGGATATCCCAAGAACTGATACTTCCTTGGGGTTTTCAGCCTCTGGAAACAGCAAAGATCTCTAGATTTATTCTGTTAAATGAACTAGTTACAGATAACTTCAATTTGGATTGTTTTTATTTCTTTTGCGGAAACACATCTAGTTTATGCTTTTCTAGTAAACTAATAAGTAGAAATAACTTATTTATAAGTGATTTCTGAAGTTTCATGCTTTCTCCCTCTATAGAACGATAGTATAAATTTATTATGCTTGGTAACATTTATTGAACATTTACTATGCATCAAACAATAGTCAAAATGTTTATGATACTAAATTTCCATTTAATGCTGATAACAGTTTTGTGAAGTAGATACCATTCTTATTCTTGTTCTATAATGAGGAAACTGAGGCCCAAAAAGAAAAGCAGTTTGCCCAAAGTCAGTTATGCATAATGAAACCAGTATTCCAGTACTAAATGTTGTATGATACTAAGTATGAGAAAAAGCCTTCATTTTGCAGTTTTTTTCAAACCTCTTTTCAAGAGGAGCATGATAAAAGAAAAAAAGGAGTGTGATATTTGCTTTCTGGCCGCAAACCTTAGATTGAGGGATACCTTTGTTTTACTAGGGAAAGAATCCTTTTATCGCTTTAACAAAGAATCTTTTTCTGTTATTGAAGAACAAGTTCAAGTCCAAAAATAATAGATTTGAATGTTTTTAAAAATGGATACTTGCATTTTCTGAAGCCTGCCACTGGCATGGCCCCAAACCTGAAGTCAGCAGTCTCATCTCTTATGTTCCTTGATGATGAGCTCGGAGACAGTATCCTTTGTGTGCAACTAAAAGGAAGATAATTTATTTCCATCTTTGAATGTTTAAGTGACAGAGCAAGAACTGAGAATTCAATTTAAATCTTCATTTATCTTTCTGCTCCTGCTTAGGCTAACTTTACACTGGAAAAGCAGTTACAGTTTGAGAAAACAGTATCGACAACCAGTAGACCAAATCAGCATAGCTGAGTCCCTTGAAATAACATGACTCTTCAGTGCAGCCATCAACCTAATAGTGTCCCTTGATTCCTTTTCTAGTACAAGCTACTTCTGCCATAAGTCCCAAACAGCCGTTAGGGAGCTGTTTCTTGGGTGAGAGAATTGGGTCTGTCCCCAGTTACTGGCCAGCTTTAGCAGTCTGGTCTCAGCAGTTGAATAAAAGTGTCAGCGTTTCAGATGCCTCACTGCACAGAAAGCTAAACCTTAGTTTGCTTTGCATACATAGATTGTATTTTTCCATTATTTATGTGCTACTTCATTTTCTCATGGACAAATAGACTGAAAATTTTTTGATTTTGGTTTTTGTAGAAATACTTGCTATGAAGTGAACTGTCACAGCAATGTATTGAGTCATTACTGACATGATCTCTTCTGCTTCAGCCTCAGGGTCTTCAGGAAAAGGAAGCCGGATACCGGACCTAGGACATGACTACAAACCTCCAATGAGTGGTAAAGCCCTTCCTTTGGCATTTGTAGCTTCCCATGGACATGAAGTGGTTTTGCTAAAATACCCTGAAATATCTTTTATAACTTGAGTAGTTGGTCACAGCATGTTAGCCTGTCTTTTTTTTTTTTATTTAACGAGAAAAAAGAAAAAAAAAAAACAGAAAAAGGGTACAAATTATACAGAATTTCAGAAAATATAAACAGTAAGAAATCACTAGTTAATAGATTACATATTGTCATCTTAGAAATAGTTGTTCAAGTTACAAAATTAAAGCATATAAAGTGGACATTCAAACAGTGAGACTGCAAACAGTTCTGTTCAGTGATCCAACAAAACTCAGTAATATCTATCTTATACACAGTTATCAGTTATCTATCTTATACACTTAAATATACAGGCAGTTATGTCCTTTAGAGCACTTTCTTTTCCTCTCTTTTGTACAATGACAATTACACATTTTGGGTTTTATTACTCCCACAGTTCTTATTACTTTTTTTTGAAGAGAGTAAAACCAAATGTGACATAACAGGACAGAGTCAGTCAAATCAAAAGGATGGACATAATACATAATGTAAAAACAAAATACAAGGTGATCAACAATGGTCACCATAATGCCTCTTGCTATCTTAACAATAATTGCTTATATCATCAGTTATAATAAAATTGAACAAAACAGTAAAGAACATATTTTTCCCTTAATTAAAAGGATAAAAATGAAAAAGTAAATAATAAAAAAAGGAGGTTGAGATAAAAGAAGGCATAACAACAAAACAGCGCAGGTCAAAACATAACCTTTTAAGCAAAATAGTGTTTCACCACAAGATAATCCTGACATAGAAGTAGTTACCATAGTATCTCTTTCCTTGAAATCTTTGAGTATGACTTCGTATACTGTAGCATCAAACATATCAAGACAATGTAAAACTATTCAAGAGAATGACAGTATTACAGGGTATTTAGAATCAAGTAACAGAAAATGAACAATGATTTCTGTATAATCTCCTTATCTATAAAAGTTTTTGTTTATATTGTCACATATAATAAAATCCAATAAGATACGACATGTTAAGACCGATGGAGACAGAGGAACAAAAACTTGATGGGACTTCAAAACAAGATGATATTAAATCAGCACTACCTATTATGATGTCTTGTTTTCTCCAAAATAGCTGTTCCTACCATCCAACCTTCTCTGCCTCATTTCTGTTGAGCTCTTTTTCTGTCATTAGTTGTCAGTTTGTCTTCTTCATTTCTCTTTCTGCTCCATTCATTGTGGCCTCTCTGCCACTGTTTCTGGAATCTTGGTATTTTTCTTTTTTAGAATATCCTGAAGTATTCTCTGTAGAGTTGAATTGGTGGTTGCAAATTCCCCTAATTCCTCTTTATCCTGGAAGCACCTTGTTTTTCCATCAATTTCTAGGGACACTTGTGTAGGATATATTAATCTTGGCTGGAGGTTATTATCTTTCAAAGCTTGAGTTATTTTCCCCCACGCTCTTCATGATTTGATGGTTTGTGCCAAGAAGTCTACTGTAATTCTGATGGGTGTTCCCTTGTAAGTGATCTGTTTCTTGTCTCTGAAGGCTTTTAATATTCTGTTCTTATATTGGATTTCCGGAATTTTGATTATTATATGCCTGGGTGTAGCTCTGTTTGGGTTGTAGGTGGCTGGGGTCCTGTATGCCTCATACATCTGAGTATCTTTACCTTTTGCTAAATTAGGGAAATTCTCCTGGATTATTTCTGTGAATAGCTTTTGTAGTTCATTTGTTTGTGTCCCTACTTCTTTTATGTTCTTAATTCTTCAGTTATAGATCCTCTTACCATCTTCTAGCCTTTGTATTACTGCTGTTTGTTTTCTTGATATTTTTAAGAGGTTTTTCATTTCATGCTCCCACCTTACAAATCTGTCCTCCAGTTCAGATAATCTATCCTTAGTTTCTTTCAAGCTGTTATGCCAGCTTTCAATAGAGTTTTTAGTTTCCTGGTAATATCTTTGAATCTGTTTCTCATATTCTATGTTTTCTCTATTTTCTCCATCAAACAATTCTCCCCTTTTTTTCTGTTCTTCCACTCTACCATCTGTTTTTTCTTGGGCGATGCTTAGCATTTCTCTAATTATTCTACTTATATCTTGCTTTATTTCATTAAATACTTCACTTTTGAACTCGTCTATGAGGCTCCAGAGATATTGCTTTATGTCTATTGGTGCCATGTCTGATATTGCATGTTTTCTGTCCTCATTCTCCTTTGCGTTTACCTTTCCTAGATCAGTGTTCTCAGGATTGGGGACTGAGGACCCTTTCTTATTGCTCCCTCTTCCCATACTTTTTGTTCCTTCCATACAAGCGTGTATAATGGAGGCCCAGTGTTTTTTTCTCTTTGTCTGTTACAGTTTGTTTAAATCCACTGGCTAGGTGTTCCCGTCCACTGCAGTGTACTAGGGAGACACAGACCTGGGTAGCCTCTGCTGGGCCCGCCCCTCCAGGTCAACCTACTGAAGGCTTCACTGCTAGGGTGCACCGCCAGGCTCTGGGACCTGATTTGGGCTAGCCTACTGGATCTTAGTCCGCGGCGTCACCCATAGCCTGTTCTTTTTTAATTACAAGATCTAGCATTAGGCATTTTGTGAAAAATGTTTGCTGAATTACTGCAAGTCTATTCATTGCAGGATCCATAAATAAAATTGTTCCCCCACACATCCAATTTAAGGTAAATTCCTAATTATTAAAATTAGGAATTTTTTTTTTTTTTTTTGTCTTTTTCCTTTTTATCGGAACTGGGGATCGAACTCACAACTGCCTGCTTTCAAGCCACTGAGCTAAACCCCCAGCCCCTAAAATTAGGAATTTTTAAAATATTAATTCCCATTGTTTGGACAAGTTCCTAAACAATTCCTATGTGTGGAAAAAAGAGATTTTTCAAAAATAAATTTTCTAGGGCTGGGGATTTATTTCAGTGGCACAGTGTCTGCCTAGCAAGCATGAGGTCATGAGTGCAATCCCCAGAAAATAAAAATAAATCCTCCAGCAGGATTATTCATCACTCTAAACAAGCCAAAGAAATGCTTCACAATCACTAAAGTTCTCCCAGTACTGCTAACTACACTGTTACAGTTTGGGAATTCTAGAAAATTCTTCCCAGTGTTCTCAGCATCCTAAAAGCTGATGGCTTCTAGTTGAATAGCATCTTCTTCACTACAGAACTTTTTTCACAGTTTCTAAGTTACTTTCACACATGAAATCACTTCTGATCCTCAGAACACAGGAAAGGAGAGACTCAGTGGAGAAGTAACAAGCCAGGAGACATCCACTAATGTCTAGCTAGGACCAAAATCTAGGCTTCTATCTTCTGATTGTGCTTTTTCCACTGTCATAGCCCCTTTAAAAAGCAGGGGATACTGTGCCACAGGAGAGAATCCAAAGTGGCAGAATGTCCAAAAAGTGGTTAACAGAATTGACCCTGTGTCATTGTCTCTACTTGGGAGATATATTAAAGAGCAAACAAAGCCTGTCCTCTGGAAACTCGTGATCTAGTTGTGGGAATGCAGTGATCTTTTACTCCGGCTGGCTAAATCAGAAATGGTTCTACCCATACTTCAATGTGATCGGTCTGTTTTTAGAACCATACAAGCTTTTGTATGGTTGTCCATGCATTTATTACTTACTGTGGTACAGTACAATATCAAAATGTGAGAAGAGTGATTATTTCTTCATTTTTTATTTCATTTATACACCATTCGTGTATGCATATTTTTAAAGGTTCCTATTCTTGTGGCAGTTGATGGGAGGAAGAGGAACAACTGCCTGATAGAAAAAAAGGGAAAACTTTATAGAACCCAAATCTTAAAGATGCACAGAAGATGGTTTAATGTCAATGAAGGGTGAGACATTCCAGGAAGCACGGTATATGCAGTGGGAGGCAATATAAAAGCACCTCTGCCTCTCTGCCTAGAGACCAGGGAAAGATAGAGTTAAAGTAGTAGATAGAATCAGACCAGCAAGGGCTCAAATGTCATTGTTTAAAAATTAGAGCATTGGCCTCTAGATCGTGTATGTGAACTGTGATACTGCTGGTACACTAAGACTTCCATTTACTTGTGTCTACTGTTACTCTAGTATCAGTGAAGAATGAGTTGGAGGCTGAGAGTATGAGGGAAAAGTCGTTCAAAGCTTTTGCAGCAGCCCAGATGAGGCATAAAGAAATGGCATGTTCTATTGCCTCACGTAGGAGTTTGGTGCCTTCTTTGTCAGCTTATTCTTAGTTTTTCTTAGGTGGAAGCTTTTGTCCAGTTCATGTATTAGATATCAAATGCAGTTAAATGAGAATTTGTCTCTTTGGCAAGCAGGAAAGAATTACCACCACTTCTGCTTGCCTCCCACACCCAGCTGTCCAGCTTCTGATTGCAGTGGTCACCCCACCCAATACCTGACCCCGTAGTTCAGCACTGTTAACAACAGTGTTAGGAAAAACCTTACTCTGTCATGGGCAGTATGTTTCATTTTATTGGCCCTAGCATTGTCGTCTTTCCCAAAGATAAAAATGTTATCAAAGATTACTATGTACAATTTAAGTTGTCCATCTGCTTACCTTTTTCTCAGAAACAAAGGATAAAAAAATGATTGAACCAAATGTAGAAGAATAAGCTCTTAAGTCCTTCTAAATCAGTCCCAGATTTAGTACTGTGCTTAAATATAGTCTATAAAATCAGAATAAAAATTGGAAGGTCAGCTAATCCAGTGTTGTAGAAGAGATTGTTATAAGTGAATTTGGATTAGATCATAAATTTAAAAGCCAGGTGATATATGAGAATCAGTTTAGGGAAGTTTTGAAAAATAGTTTCACAGACCACACTTCCTCATAAGAATTTCTTTCATAATATTTCACACTAGTAAGATGCCCCTCTAAAATACTTTTAGTAACTAAAGATTCATTGCTTAGCAAGACAACTCATGTCATTATTGTGCAATTCTGATTGTTACATAAGAGGAAGGAAGAGAGAGAGAGATAGTAGCTAGAGGACTACATATATCCATGATAATTATATCTGTTTGATTTGCCACATTTCATGATGTGAGTATGCATGATTTGAACTGAAAGAAAAGAAATTATACTTCAAGAAATAGCCGGACATGGTCACACAGACCTGTAATCCTAGCACTCAGGAGGCTGAAGCAGGAGGATTACAGCAAGTTCAAGGCCAACTTGACTGCATAGTGAGACCATCTTTCAAACAAACAAAAAAAAAAAAATAGAAGACAACAAAGCCTTGATTACATTACATAAAGCCTTGATTTAAAATAAAAAATGTCTAGACCCTATCATGTAAGCAGTGGGGAAATAATAACAGGAAGAAGAAAATCTGAATTTCTTTGAGATTCTAAGCAGTCTGACTTCTGCACACTTCTTTAGCCTCATCTTCATCATTTTCCCCTCCTTTCCCTCTTAAATTGCCTCTTTCTGGGTTTAAGCAACTCTGATTGCTTCATTTTACCTCAGGATCCTTCCTTAGCTGTTTACAGCCTTCTGTAGGGTTATATCCCTCACATCTTTACATGATGGGATCTTTCTTGTCAAATATCAGCTCAAATGGCATCTTCTCAGAAGCTTTTTCTTTCTTTTTTTTTTTTAATTATCAATACAGTGAAACAGATTAAAGAAAATCAAACTTAAAACCCAGGTTGAGCACACAACTGTTTCCTCAATGGCTTGGCTCCTTAGTCATTATCTACAGGATTCAAAGGTTGGAAGGAGCCAGGCATGGTAGTACATGCCTGTAATCCAAGCACCTGCAAGACTGAAACAGGAGGGTTGCTGCAAGTACAAGCCCAGCCTGGGTTGCATTGTGAGTTCAGGGCCAGCCTGAGCTACATAGTAAGACCCTGTCTAAACTAAATAAATGCATACACACACACATAAATACCTGAACTATGTAGTAAGATCCTGTCTAAAATAAATGAATGAATGATACAGGTATACAAATTCAGGCAAACGCCAGTTTTTCCAAAATCATGGAAAGTGATTGTAGATGTGAGCAGACCCCTGTGCTCCCCTGTGCCTCTTGGACAGAACTAAAGAAAGCGACCTCCTGAGGGTATCTATGCTGGATTCAGAAAAGCTTTTTAACCACTTAATCTAAATTAACCACAACCCTCATTGTTAACTAGTAATACCTTACTTGTTTGTTATTTACCCCAACTCAGACCCAGCATTTGTGTCTTTGTTATTGACCATCGCATTCTTAGTACTAAGAACAGTGACTGGCACATAATACATAGTGTGCTACATAAATTCAAACTTACTTTTTTCCTTAAGAAAAAAATTTTCCTGAGAAAAAAATTTTTCCAAGCTACTTGTTTTTTTAAAAAAAAACAGATGATTTTTTTTCAAGTAATATTTTCATAATCTTGGACATCTATAATATGTTACAGGATCTTTTCTGTGAGCATACATTTTTAAATTGTTTTGAAAGCCAAAATACCAAGTGGTTTAGAAATAGTACATTTGCAAGATGAATTTGTACATCATTGAATCACCAGAGAAGCAAAGCTGTTTATTTATCCAAGTATATCTAAACACTTGAAAGTTCTTAAATGTTTAGTAAATTGAAGAAGCTTTTATTGAATACCATCTTTAAGGAAGACTCTGTGGTGAGCCTGGCGCCTGGGGCAGACTCTCAGCTCTCTAGGAGTTCATAATGTAGAGGAGACAGCCATATTCATGCAGCACTCTATACAGCACAGTGACGAGTGCTCTAAAGGAAGCTCACCTGAAGTAAACTGGAATGGTTCAATGGCCTAATTGAATGTGTTCATAACTCTCTAACAAACTAATAGATGTATTATTTTCCCTATGCAGGCAGCAACAGCCCTCATGGGAGCCCCTCTCCTCTAGACAGTAATATGCTTCTGGTTATCATCGTTTCTGTTGGTGTCATCACCATTGTGGTGGTTGTGATTATTGCTGTTTTTTGTACCCGGCGTACCACCTCTCACCAGAAAAAGTAAGTAAAGATCCCCAGATGTGACCCATAGATTTGCATTACCCTTTTTTTTTTCTTCTGTATGACTTAGAGTGGTAGAAGGTTGCATAGACCATGTCAAAAGCAATTTAAAATGCTCATACAGTCCTGCACTATTTCAGTCAGTGAGTATATCTTAGTCACATTTATGTCACCAGGACAAAGTATCTGAGACTTGGATTTTAAAGAGGTTTATTTGGCTCATGGTTTTAGAGGGTTCAGTCCATACTGGGCTAGATTTAAATCAGAAATAGCATGGCAAAAGGGACTGGTCGGGGCTCAGCGGCTAAGCACCTACCTTGCAAGTGTGTGGCCGTGAGTTTAATCACCGGTTCTGATTTAAAAAAAAAAAAAAAAAAGACCAGAAAAAAAAGGACCTGGTGGATGAAAGTTGCTCAACCCACAGCAGAGCAGAGAAATAGCACCAGAGAAGGAACAATCTCTATGACCCACCCAACACAACCAGAAAATGTGCCCTAGTAATTTCCTAGGCAGCTCTCAAACTAATCAAAGTTGACAGTCCAGTTTAACTTTCACAGAGGGTCCCATAAGATTATAATGGAGCTGAAAAACTCCTACACTAGTAAATGTGTTATAAGTGAAGAAGAGGAAGAGAGAAATTGCAGGAGAAAATAAGCCATAAAATTATGTGTGAAACCTAGCATGGTAGTATAATCCTAGTACTCTTGAGTGGCTAATGCAAGAGGATTGATTGCAAGGTTAAACTCAGCCTGGGCAATTTAATGAGCATCCTTATCTCAAAAAAATATTTATTTAAAGGCTGGGATGTATCTTAGTGGCTCTAGGCTCAGTCCACAGTACTCCTCACCCCCAAAGTTTAAAAATAAAGACCCAAAACTGAAAGAGTTTCATTAATAGAGAAAAATATTCTTGGTGTATTAACTGCTTACAAGCAAATCTGTGAGGAAAAGCCAACAAACCACACAAACCATAACGAACATAACTCTGCAGGGTGACACCTGCTCAAGAAGAGCCCCGAGCAAGGCCTTGCGAGGGATTAATTCCAAAGAAGGCTTTGTTATCGGCAGAAATGACAACTCCATGTTTGTCATTGAAGATCTTCTTTTAAACATTTGCTCATTTCAGTAGCACATATGCTAAAATGTAAGGCAACCCTTGACCCTAGATCACATTTAGCTCATATCTGGCCAGCAAAACAGCAGAAACAACAAAACTACTTTAGTTATAATCCCCTGAAAGATCATAAGATGGGAGATTGTTCCATGAAAGAGATAGAAATTTATGTCTGTGCTTGTGACCTATCTTGCAGACATGGTCTGCCTACGGCAACAATGTTAATGTAAATTTTGTTTATTTTCTATCCATAGGACATGTATAAGCTACCTTATAATTGTTGTTGGTAATGATTGTCATCATCTGTAGGTTATGTGATGTTTTAAAATCTCACTCTGGTCAAATAAAATAGCTTTCTGCAACTTGCATTCCTCCTATAGGAGAGTAAGGGCTTCTTTATATGCCTTTGACCTTCCTGTTATAGCTTTTCCTGTCCACTTTTGATTACGGAAAACAGTTCCCCTTAAAAGCCTCCAGGACTACAATTTTTTTTCCTACTATAGAGCTTTTTTTTTTTTTGCAAGTGTCTTTATTTGGCATTTAACATTTAGCTATCTTTATGGACTTGCTTTTATATCTGTTGTAGAAATCTTTAAGTCTTTATTTAATAGAATCTAAAAACCAAAATGACAGAATTCTTTAGTGCTTTGGAAGATTTGAAGTTCAATTTAAGAAGGAGGTACTCTGCAGATTGAGACTAAGCAAATACATTGAGAAAAGACTCTGTACTCTTGGTTTTGACTCCGTAAGTCCTACAGATTTGGGTCCCTTTGTTTAAAAGATTGTATTAAATCTTCACAGGGAATTCCTCTTTTTCTTTCCCCCGTAGGCTGTTTTCGAAGTATTCTTTCAGCCACTGAAAAATATAAACGAGCTTTTCTTACTGTTTTTCTTCCTCTCTAATACCTGAAGTCTGCCCAGTTAGATAGAGTAGTTATTTATAGCCTTTTACAACCTCAAAGTCAATAGAGAATTTATCCTTGTTTTTTCAGCACATTTCCGTATGTCCCCTCTTAATAGATGACTCAGGCCCCTTCTTAAAGAAGGTAGAAGCTACGAGTTTCTATATTGCTGTGTCAAAATACTCAAGGGTAGGTACTTTAGGAAGTAAGTGGTTTCTTAGGCTCATGATTCTAGTGACTGAGGTTCCAAATAACACAGTACTAGTGCCTTGTGAGGACCACCTGTCACAGCATGACAGAGAATCAGAAAGGGAACTGGTCACATATAAAAGAGGGACTCAGGAAAAGGTGCCAGGCTCCCTATGACAGATGGTTCCCTTGAGAACCAGCTTAGTACTGCAAGAAATCTCTTAATCTCTTCTGCGACTGATGCCCTGCATAGAACTAATTACCCCATGCTCCAGTCTATCTCTGAAAGGTTCTATCACCTCCTGTCAGCAGATGGGACCTACCTCAGTGTAAAACCATCTAATCTAAAACATTTAGTTACACATACGCCACACACATCCTCCTTTGTATTATAAATTATCTCTGGATTACGTACTCATATTTAGTATTCCTTATCCTAAATGCCTAATATTTTAAATCTCTTCCTCTACACAAATAAAATAGATTTAGATAACATTTTACATCGCTTTTCTTTTTTTTTTTTTTTTTTTTTGTCTTTTTCCTTTTTATCGGTACCAGGGATTGAACTCACGACTGCCTGCTTGCCAGGCAGGTGCTTATGCTGCTGAGCTAAATCCCCAGCCCCTTACATCGCTTTTCTAAGAGATTGAAAGCTTCCTTTGTATGCCTCTTGACTGCCATTTCAGATTCTAGAGTTTTTAAGATTTTGGAACACTTGCATAATTAGCACTCTTAAATGAAAATTTTCAGATTTCAGAGCATTTTAGGTTTCATATTTTTAGATTAGGTTATAATATATAATATTACCCATGCAGTTAGTGGCTCAATAAGCTTACATCACCTACTGACTGCATAATCATTTTAGTCCTATGTAAGTACACCCTGATATTCATGCAATAAAATGGCCTAAGAATTCATTTCTCAAGATATCCCTACCATTCAACATGAGGCTGCAATGAAATGCTATAAAAATAGTTGTTATACTATATTGTTAAGAAAAAGAACATCAAGAAAAATCTTGATGTTTTCAGTGTGGTTTCTTTAAAGATATTTTCAGTGTGCAGTTGGTTAAATCTGAGGATATGGCACCTGCAGATACAGAACACCAGCTGTACTTATTGGTACTCACTGTTTCTTCCATCACTGCCTACTCATTTCAGTTCTTTTTAATATAGATTCTGCCCATTTCACCAAAATTTCTTTTTCCACATCACTAGTAACCTCCATATTGCTCAAGCCAAAGGTGCTTTTCAATCTATTCCTTCCTTCTTGAAGCCTTCTCTTCTGTGATATGCCATGATAGCATGTTCATTATCACAGCAGCTCCACTCCAAGCTACTCTGCCTTCACATAGAGAAATTCCTCAGAGCTTGGGCCTGGGCTTATTCTCTTCTCCTTCTGCACTGTCCCCAATGATCTCACCTATTCCTGTGATCTCATTCACTGTGTACACCCCAGCTACTCCAGTATGTCTGTCTCCAGCCAAGGCCTGTCTCTCCGAAGTATTAGACGTACATACCCAATTGCCTCTTTCATACTTTATCCTGAATGTCTCGGGCAATACAAACATAGCATATCCAAAACAGTTTATAACATTTTCAATCAAACCTCTTCAACTCCCTTATTCTCAGTGTTAGTGACCTAAGCCAGAAATATTGGTCACATCCTTTACTTTTTTTTCTTCTTTACTCACTTCCCATCCTGCCTTCATTTACTCTCCAAATCTGATCGTTCTACCTCCTAATCTTTTAGGTCTCCCTTTTTTTCTCATTCTCACTGTCCCAAGCTACTGTCATTCATGCCAAGACAAAATAACAACTTAGCCTGATTCCTTTCCTGTACCCCACCTCATGAATCCATTATTTATGGCACAGCTAGTATGAAGTTTTAACTCAGAATTTACTCTTTTCTCTTGCTCAGTCTTTTAATGGTTTCTTATTACTCACAGAGGGAAATTCACACTCAGTGTTGTTCTAAATGCCTTTTAAAATCTGGTTCCATACCTCCTTCCCAGCATTTTCCTATCATTCTCTGCATGGTTCACTATGCCCCACCTTTCAGGACTTCTTAAAAATCCTTCTGAAATAACCAAGATGCTGCTGTCTGCTTTAGAGCTATGATATCAGCTGCCTTTACCACCTGGAAAGCACTGCCTGTCCCTTTCAGGTCTCAGCATAAATGTCACTTCTGTGTCTTCCTTGGCTACCTTTGGCCCAGCTGATAAGAGCTATTGTAGCACTTGGCATTTCACTAAGCTCAGAGCATTTAAAGTTAATAGTTCACTGTCTTCCTTGCTTTCTGAACTTAAAAAGTCCTGAGGACACAGCAGGCTAGCCAGGATCTGACATATAGTAGGTACCTACCACACAGTAGGTACCATTCACTGAGTGAGGGAATGAGTGAAAGGAGACGCTAAAGCACCATGATGCAGAAACTGCTGTCCCTATTTTTTACTCTACCTACTTGGAAATCTTAGTTTGAGTTACTGTCTTAGTTATTTGTTCTTGTTAGTGAAACAAAATAACCGACACCCAAAGTTGAAGGCTTACTTAGTTCACAGGTTGTAGAGATTTCAGTCCATAGTTGCTGATTCCCAGGCAGAGAGTGACATGGCAGAGAGGCATTACAGAAGAGAAACTGTTCTTGGCAGGCAGAAGGCAGTAAAGCAGCGAAGTAGCAAGGCGACAATAACTGTCCCTTCCATTCTATCGCACACCCAGGTAGGACCCTTATTCCCAGCATCACAACCATGATCTCAGCTTCATACACCCTAGACCATACCACCTCCAGAAAGCCCACTTGTGACTACATGAGGCTTTGGGGGACATCTAGCCATCCCTCCTTCCTTTATAAGCCAGAAACTCCAACTCCGCTCCATTGTCATATTTCCACTTAACTCTCCTTTCTATGTGAATTGGAAACTTGGAGAGAAGCCTTCTGCTTTAGAGGTTGATTTTAAAATGCTGACTTTCAACACACATTAAAAGTAGTCATAAGATAGTACACCTTGGTACAATCTCTCAATATGTGTGAACTCCGTAGAGATATGAGGTACTTTTACTCTTTTCAAAAATAAACTTCTTACCTGTATTTTGTTTTACTTTCCACTTTTGCTTGAAGCATCTCTCAAAATGTCAGTTTTAATCACTTAAACCTTTTGACAAATATACTCAAAAGAATTTACTTTTTTAAACTCACTTAATTTGATACCTAGGAAACGAGCTGCCTGCAAATCAGTGAATGGCTCCCACAAGTATAAAGGTAACTCTAAAGATGTCAAACCTCCAGACCTCTGGATCCATCATGAGAGACTGGAGCTGAAACCAATTGACAAGTCTCCAGACCCAAACCCCATCATGACCGATACTCCCATTCCTCGCAACTCTCAAGACATCACACCAGTGGACAATTCCATGGACAGCAATATCCATCAAAGGCGGAACTCATACAGAGGTACCATTCTCGCTGCAGGTGTTTTCCCAAATGTTCAAAGACTGTTCGCATTTTTATTTTGTCAAGTTGCCTTAATTTGATGATTCCTATAAATAGCTAGTTACCTTGTTACAGGGGAGAGGTCTGTGCCCATAAGAAAATCTAGATCTTTTTAAATCTCTCATCAGGTATCACTAAAGCACTTGAATCACCTAGAGCATGACTGTACTTTGCATTCTGTCCCTTTCATTGGGCGCCAGCTGTCAGTGTGGTATTCAGGTCATTCTTGGCTGGATGTTTTTACAGACACCGCACTGAACCTTAGCAGGCAGCATGGTGTTATCCACTCTAAGTCGGAATTCTTGTGCTGCTCCATTGCAGGCATGCCTGATCCCCCTTGCATCATTTGTGAGTCCTGAATCCTCTCCTAGAAATGTTTTACTGCTGAGGCTACTTAGTGGTCTGAGGTACATCCTAGAGCTAACTTCTGTATTTGACATACAGGGCATGAATCAGAGGACAGCATGTCTACACTGGCTGGAAGGCGGGGTATGAGACCAAAGATGATGATGCCCTTCGACTCTCAGCCACCCCAGCGTAAGTAAATGTTTCTCTTCTTCTCCAGTGCTGTCCCATCATGGTGGGAAGAGGTATGGATGATCTCTGCCTTTTCTCAGTTCTAACACAGTATATAACCTGTCAAAGCTGGGGTATTTTGAAGGGAGAAATATCAAGCAGTTGCTGTATTTTGCAGTAGATTCTGTTCTTGAAACCAGCACCTTGAAATTATGAGTAAATAAGCTAAAAGGCAAATTTCTACAGTCTCCCCAGAGTAGAAAAGTACCTTTTCCCCTTGGTCAGGTGCTCTGCAGAGAGAAGGGGAAGCATCTCTGGAAACGGGCTGAGCTTTGCCAGGTATGACAAGTATTCGTTAGGCTTCCTGTTGAAGAGCCCCTGTAGGAGTTTTAGTTTTTTTTTAATTAGTAGATGTCATATTTTAGAGTTAGTTTAGTGCTTTGAATTTTGAAATTCATTTGACCAAGCCTCTTCCCCTCACAACCCCTAGGACTGAGAATCACGGAGCTAGATCCCCAACCCATTTTTTTTTTTTTAAAACAAGATCTCTTGCCTAGACAGGGCTCAAACTTTTGATCCTCCTGCCTCAGCCCACCATGGTATAGGTGTGTGCCCCAGAACCTGGTTTTCATGCCTCATTTTAATAAACTTATTTCCTTTAATAGTAGTTAAAATTCAAAATAAGCTAACTGTCACAGTTAAAAATACAAACCAATTCTTTTTTTTTTTTTTCAAACTACTGTGTCCTCTCCTCATCTCAATTTTCAAGTTAAAAAGTCTTTCAGACTTTACGATCAGGTAGTGCTCAAACATCTCTGCTAGCAAATGATTAGATTTAAACAGCCTTGGATGCCCCACACACACAGATGCACTATGGCTTCCTCCATGTGGAAAAGTTCCTCTCCCTCCCTTCTGATAGAAACTATAAGCTTGCAGATGTGTGTGCACCCCCACCCTGAGCACATAGTATACAAATATAGCAGGTTTTAGATTATAAAAAATCAGTTTTGAAAGAAAAATGCCCTATTCTTTAGGTTTATGGCATTACAGAGCTCATAATGAGTAATTTCTGCACAAAGCAGTGTATGCTTAGGATTTGTAATAGAAAGGTCTGGACTTGGAAGTATGTGGAGAATTACCAGGATTTTCCTCTTGTCCAGGTGTCTTCCCCAGTGTCCCCAGGTTTAAAGGCACAAATATCCAAAAAAGACAAATTTATTCCATCTGTCTTTGATTCAGAAAAGGATGATATTTTGACTATTTATTCTGTTCGTTTTTGTATAAGACTTCAATTCCTCTCTGAACAGGCTTATTTTTAAAATTTAAATAACTGTCTGTGTTTCTAGGCTCCTTACTTTTAAATGCATTAAAGAAAAAGACACATTATCCCAGTTGACATCATTCTTTTGGGGAGGGGGTGGGAAGGAGCGTGCATTAATATCCAATATTTAATTTGCACATAGAATCTTTTAATTCAAGAATCTGAAACCAGATATAAATTCTAAGATGACAAATTTAGCCAGACACACTTGTAGACTAGGTTTTGAGAGCTCCTTTTCAAAATCCATAGGTCTTTTTCACAAGATGGGCTTCCATGGATTCTGAGTTCTTGGTTGAGGCTGGAATCATACACTCACCATCCACCTGCATTGTTCTAAAAAAGCTGAGCAGTGCTGGGAAGGGCTTGCTGACATCAGGGTGAGGTCCTGTCCTCATAGAACTATTGAGTTCAGATTCAACCAACTGCTGCTGCTACCTATTGGAGTCTAGATTGGAATATTCCTGGTTTACTTCTTATTATTGGGAAACTGGAAATACCTTTAAAAAGAAAACATCTATCCTGATATTCTTTTGTGAAAGTCCACTACACCTCAGACACCTTCAGATTGTACTTGCCACATCAAAATCAAGAGGTTTTATTTCCTCCCCCAGCCTGAATTTGGAAAGGCAGAATCTTAACCATCTCACTTCTAAAAACTATGAGAACCCTCCTCAGCCAGCTCTTCTGAATTTTGTTTATTCCTATAGATCTGACAGCTTCTGGTCCCTGAGAGCAACTCTAGAGGGAAAGCCCGCACCCATTTTGTTGTCCAGTCCTTGAGTAAGGGAGGGATAGCTGACTGTGCCACTTGCTTGTTTACATGTGGCCAGGGACAGAATAAATGAGTTATCTTATTGTCTAGAATTTCTTTTCATCAAATGATTAATGGCCTCACAAAGATCTAAGTTTTCTGATGATAGAAGAACTGGCTTCAAAGGGCTAAGTTTTTCCATAAAGTTCATAGAGGAAAAACAAAGAAGATACCCTGTATTTCTGTTCCACTGTGTCTATTTGGAGGGGGAGAAGGAGTGTAGAACTGGTAATCTTGATCTTAAACATTCAGTTTCTACAACTATTTTAGGCAAATTATTCCCAAATTGGCCTTCTAATTTTTGTTTCTTTGTTTACATCTTGGAGGTTGAATATGGAGCCTCATTAAAAAGGCTTGATAGAAAGTTGTATGTATAATCTCTGTGTGAAACTAAATGCAGTAAATTGAATCCTTAGCCAGTGTGGGAAGAAAGAGGAAGTTACAGATGATCCATTTATATTTTAAAATGCTGATGGATATGGCTGGAAGTGGTGCCATAGGCCTATAAAGTTCATGCTTTTAGTATTAGATTGGGCCATCAAAATTAATTTGATTTATATTCCTTCTAAGATATGAAAACCAGTTAAACAATGCTCATGTATTAATGCCCAATACGTGCCTCTTTCAGCCAAAAAAAGACAATGAATTAGGGCTGATACTCAAGGGTGAAGGAAAAGGGACTGCAGCACCTCAGCAGGACCCCCCCCCCAAAACAAATCTCTCTAAACCACTGTTTACTTATGGATTTATATTTTTGACATATTCAAATAGATATTTTCAATAACTCATGTAATCCATGTTTATAATAGGAGAATTGGGAAATATTGATGAAGTAAAAGAAAAATATTTTTTTAATCCTGACCACTCTTCCCCGGCAGCATTGCTTTCACTGTTACCATTTTAGTACCTATTCCTACAGCCTTTTTTCTGTACATACATAGATACATGCATAGGAGTGCATCCATTTATTAAAAAACAGATAAAAATCATTGGCTGATTGTCCAAATCCAGGCATCTGTGACAAATAGCCATGGGGATGAGGGCTTGTATGGGTGGTGGGAAGAGGGTGACTTGGCTCTTAAACTGCGATTTATGTGTGTCTGTACAAGCATGTTAAGCATTTCTCTGTCTTGTGTTCATCCACAGCTGTGATTAGTGCCCATCCCATCCATTCCCTCGATAACCCTCACCATCATTTCCACTCCAGCAGCCTCGCTTCTCCAGCTCGCAGTCATCTCTACCACCCGGGCAGCCCATGGCCCATTGGCACATCCATGTCCCTTTCAGACAGGGCCAATTCCACAGGTGAGAGATGAGGCTCGAGGCCAGATGGAAAGCATTGCAAGAGTTTGCAAGCAGAAATGGGAAAAGACTTGCCCTACTTAAAATGTTTCATTGTTGTGTATTTATTTGTGGAGTCAAATTTGTTTCTACAAAATTTTACTAAGCTTTAAGTGCTCAGTGAAGAGTTTCATGTTAGTAAAAACAGTGACACCCCATAAGCCTCTCATACTCTAAAACTTGCATCATGATTAATCCCTTTTTTAAAAAAAATGGGGCTGGAAATTTAGCGGGGGGGGGGAGTGGTGGTGGTAAGTGCCTGCCTTGCAAACGCATCATCATGAGTTCTATCCCCGGTAAAAAGCAAAACAAAACCCTTTTTTTTTTTTTTTTAATCCTCCGATTTGAAAGGAAATTCATTCTAGGTAGTTTTCAGATACAAGTAATTACCTTTGCTTTATAGACATCCTATTATTGGGGAAGTACTAGGGGCAGTAGGGCTACTAGCCCTCTGTCAAGTTGTCCAGTGGATTAGGAAGGGATGTCCATCTCTGAAAAAAAGAAAATTAACATAGCAATTTGCATTGTACTTAAAGATATACATCATCAAATATGTTGGCTAGCAAATCTTAAGAAACAGCATTATCAAGCAGTTTTAAGAAGGAAATAAGGTGAAGGGATAGGAAACTGAATAAATACTAGTGTTCCTCATTAATTACAAGTTAATTTCCATCTTTCAGTTATAAACTGCAAGTCTAGCAGCTTCTTAATGTATACAACATACAATTTTTCCATCATTTGAACTTGCCCTATTAATAGTTATTTATATTACTGATAGAACTAAGTTTTAATGATTCTGGAAAATAAGGAAATCTCAAGTGAACTCCATTTTAAAAGAATCTCAAAACTCCATGTCTAGACGTTTGGATTGCCAGTAACATCCATCCCCATCTCCTCAAGTTTTCATCAATCATAAATATACCCGAGGCTAGGGGTTTAGCTCAGCGGCATAAGCGCCTGCCTTGCAAGCAGGCAGTCGTGAGTTCGATCCCCGGTACCGATAAAAATGAAAAAGACAAAAATAAATAAATAAAAATAAAATCATAAATATACCCAAAAGATAAATAAAGATCAAAGCTTTAATGAGGATGCCTAAAAACTCAATATTATCTGCTCCCAGAACTATTACCTGATTTGGAGAAAGCTGCTTAAACTCTGCCCTTCCACTATCTCTCTCAGAATCCAGGTTGGGATTCTACTTTAAGGGAAACATGGTCTTCTGGATAGACAGTTACTCCAGCCAGTGCTTAGAGAAGCAAAGTCCACCTCCTGAACATAATCTCAAACAGAGAGCAAAGTACCAGATAGAAGCCCTCCAGACTTGTTCTTGGAAAGGTTTTGTGTCCCAACTGTGCTTTTTCATTTTGAAAGCCAAGAATCTGACACACTAGAATGTGGATCTACCTCAGTGGACAGAAGTCTGCCAGTCAGATTAGCAGCCTTCTCTGAAGAGAGACATGGCATCAAGCACTCATCCGAGTGGTCTAGTGCTGGTGAAAGTTCCTTGATCTTAAAGCTGTTTGCAGACCTCTTACATGACAGTCTACTAATGCAGAAAGTAAAGAAGAGAAAAGCATTGATTTGTATTACTAAGGGATTCCTTACTTTAATGACCAGAAAGGATACAAGAAGATAAAACTGATAGTTCACTAAAGATTGATTTGAAAAATGTCTAAAAGTGGTCCAAGTTCTCTTGCTGTTGTATTTTCCCAAGACTTGTGTCTAGAGCTCAGGCAGCCACAGCCCAGGATGTGAGGGCTAGATGTGGGGCTGAGCAGGATTCAAGGTAGCCAGATAGTCCCCATTCTGGAGGCACTTACCACCATTTGACAGAGGAAAAGCACTTGCCACTTGCTAAAAACACTCGACCACTGTGAACTTCGTGTGTCTTAAATTCTTGAGAGATAAGTGAAGAGTTAGGCCTCTTGCCAAAGTTGAAATTTGAGTCACAGCCTAGTATCGAGTGGGCCAGTGGACACTGTGGCATCAGAGAGCAGCTGTCACAGAGCAGGTACAATGCCTGGTGCCTTCTGGAGTTAGATAAGGCAGCCCTGGTTGGTGGCAGCAACCAGAACTCTGACCTATGCAGGCAACACCATTGTCCTTTTTCACATTTCCTGCCACCTCCTAGTTAAAGGCAGCTGAGGCTGCTGGCGTAGGCCTGTTTACTCAAAGCTAACCTACCATGTCTGGCTGGGGTGTTCAGGACTTGAGCCCATTCCCCTCTCTTCTCCACCCTGCTTCCTTCCTGACCAGCTCCAGCTCAGGCTGCGATTACACAGACAGTGACCAGCAATAGCTTCACCATGACAATGGCTGCCTTGAGCGAGCTAAGTGCCATACTCAGCACACCCCTTTGGAGGGTAAGAAGTGACATAGGCCCAGAGGGTTGTCACAGCCAGATCCGCTTAGAAGGGCATGTTGTTCTCTCATCACTGGGGCCTGCTCAGGAGATAGCACTTAAGACTAGAACCTCAGGGAAACAGGTTCATTGCTGCCTCACAAAGGAAGCAGGTGGGCTTCTGCAGATTGCTCATAAAGCTAAGGACTCCGTGAGTATTTAGAAAAGCCCTTTAGGCTGCCTGGTGCAGCCTGTTACATGCATCTGTCCCAAGATACGATGGTCTGCCCTGCTCATACCGTTAGAATCTTCCCCAGAGGGTTCCCCTGGCCGTCATGCTGCTTCTGCCCTGAGGTGGGGGGACAGTCAGTGAACAGTAATAACCATGTGGTACCTCTGAACCTGGGCATGGGCATCAGCAGAAGGTTTCATATTCTGCCCTGCTGGTTCTAACTGTGTCTGTGAGTAACTTGCTTACTGCCCTTGCCAGTGCCTTCTGACTTTACTCTGAGGAATGAGTGACCTGATAAATGTAAAGCACTTAGCTCGTGCCTGGCATAGGGTAAGCACTCAGTAATCTACAAAGAAAAGAACTTTCTCAGTTATTCAGGAACTGTGTCCAACTTTGTATATCTCATTTAATCTGCAGTGGATTATGTGTTATTCTCCATTTTGTGGATGAAGAAATTAAGATTCAGAGACTTGGTGAGCAGGGCAGCAGGACTGGAGTGCGGATGTGTCCGACTCCATCGCCAGCCAGTGCTTTTCTTGCCCATCATGCCGCCTTCAGTGCAGCTCCGTCCCTTCTTCGTATGTTTGCAGTTGTTACCAAGTTTTTCCTGAGTCTTCCGTTCTCCAGGCTCACCTCCATGTATTTCTTCATCTGGGCCAAGATACCCTTCATTTCACATGATCTTAAAGCTGTTGCAAACCTCTTGCATGGGGTAGTCCTCTCAAACTGAGGCTTTTGCTCTAGGAAGGCCGAGGCCAATCAGTCCCCGTGGGCATTCAGGACCTATGACATTTGCCTCCCTTCCAGTAACCCCCAGGCCTTCCCAGCAAAACTGACCATGTCAGTACTCAGCCAGTCTTGATGACCAGACATGACTGTCTATGAAAGGCCAGACTTTCTAAGATTTATCAGTGAGTGAGTAAAAATTTTTTCTTTTGTGTTTATTTATACTTTAGTAGTATCAAGAATTTTTGTATGTGCTCAGTAAGTACTGAGGAGAACTTTAAATCTGTAAAATTGTGACCACTTGCTGTGTAGGTGAAAAAATTAAAAATGACTAGTTGAAGAGAGGATTGTTTGGGATTCTTTGTTTATATTCTTAGTAGTAGTGATAATCCATGTTTCCTTGGCAATGCACTGATCCCAGGTGCTTCCAGAACTGGTTTAAGGAACCCCTAGAAGTAGCTAAAATTCTGCATATGTTTAATGATATAAGAAATACTAACATTTTGTTTTCTTGCTGTAGAATCTGTTCGAAATACCCCCAGCACTGACACCATGCCAGCCTCCTCATCTCAAACATGTTGTACTGACCATCAGGATCCTGAAGGTGCTACCAGCTCCTCCTACTTGGCTAGCTCCCAAGAGGAAGATTCGGGCCAGAGTCTTCCCACAGCCCATGTTCGCCCTTCGCACCCGTTAAAGAGTTTTGCGGTGCCAGCAGTCCCACCCCCCGGGCTCCCCACTTACGATCCTGCGTTGCCAAGCACACCGTTACTGTCCCAACAAGGTAAGGGTGGACAGCATCACCACTAGAGGGACCCTTTGGTTTAGGCTTGGAACAGAAGTCACAGCACTGCTTTGAAGAATAACAAAGCAAATGTCCTCCATGCTTTTTCTGCAGTTTAGAGTAGCAATGTGTCACTGACCCACACAGTGACTACGTACACTCTTCTCCTTTTGGAGTGCATACAAACCAGGGAGTCATGTTTGGGGGAGCATGGAATGGCCTGGGGGTGGGCAGCAGATATAGTCTGGCCAGCCCCCTGGAATCTCCTCACACCATGAGATTCCTACAGCTAGAAAAGGATCAGGAGATCAGGACTTGAAACCAGAAGGTTCCTTGGGACAGGCAAGGAACCCTGCAAGAGGAAAGTAACTTGGAACCACTGACCATGATTTCTTTTATCCCTGTTCTTTGACATTATAATGTATTGTGACAGTTTGTTTCAGACTAAGTCTGCAGAACTCAAATTCTTTTGATCTCATGACTTCTTTGCATCTTAAAAGCTACTAAAAACACAAAAAAACTTTTTTTCACCTGGGTTATGCCTATCAATATTTACCACATTAGAAATAAAACAGAAATCTTAAAAATATTTCATTGGACCAAGCAAAGTAATGCACTTGTGGGGCTGAGATAGGATGACTGAGTTCGAGGCCCACCTGAGCTACATAAGCGAGTTCAAAGCCAGTCTGCACTGCATAGCAAAACTGTCTCAAACACACACACACACACACACACACACACACACACACACAATTCATTAGCTTATTTAAAAATAGCAGTAATATGTTACATAAGATAAGTAGCATACTTTATGACAAATAATTTTTTCAAAAAATACAGTAGAAGAGTATTGTATTTTCCAAATCTCTTTCAAGTCTGGCTTAATAGAAGACAGCTGGATTCTTCTCATATCTACTTGTGCATTCAGGCTGTTGCAATATGTTGTTTTGGTTGAAATACAAGAAGAAAATCTGGCCTCTCAGATACATAGTTGGCAAAAGGAAGAGTATTTTTTATAACCTTTTGAGATATTTGTGGATGTTCTTTTTGTTGCTGTTGTTACTATAGTAAAACCCAACAAGTTGTCGTTTCCTAAAGTTGTATTGGTAGTATGAAATCTAAAGCCAAGTCCATGAGCTCCTCCTGTCTGTTTCATTAGAATTCTTTGTTCTGTCTTGTATTTTGAATGTATAACACTAAAATATACCACACATTGGTCATTTGGAACATATTGGTTCACTATCTTATACAAGTTCTTCAAATATTGATACATTGCATTAGTCAGTGTCTAAAAACACATTCATTAAAATCACCAAAGAATATAATTATTAAGCTGTCAGGCCCAGAGTGTTCAAGTTTTTCAGATTGTGATTTTCAGTTAAAACCCGAATTCTGTCATTGATAAAAGCACTCAATTTTTAGGCTCACTCAGTTAGAATTGGAAGGCTCGCTCCATTTTTAGAAAATGTCTGAAAGGCCCATTTCTTAGTCTTTGAAAGAAGCATTCCATGATAAGAGCCACAGTTCACCTCACAATCCATCTGCCACCCTTTAAGATAACATCCTACTTGGTGCACAGCAAAAGTATTTTCTACATTCCATTTTGTCCCATGTAATATTTTAAAGATATGAAATCAAAGGTCAATTTGTAATAAATAAAAGAATTGTTATTAATTAAAGGGTCCAAAGTGAAAGACATTTTTTCTGCCTTCATGAATGCTGGTCTGCTGCCTTTCTTCCCTCTTGCTCCCATGACATTTCAGAGCATGATCCCTGCGCTGGGCCTGTGCTCGTCTTTTACCCCGAAGTAGCCTTCGGACCTTGGGTACCTTCTAAGGTCCGAGCTGCCCCTTCGCCACCCCGACATAACTTTTCTGTCTTAGCTCTGAACCATCACATTCACTCAGTGAAGACAGCTTCCATTGGGACTTTAGGAAGGAGCCGGCCTCCTATGCCAGTGGTTGTTCCCAGTGCCCCTGAAGTACAGGAGACCACGAGGATGCTAGAAGACTCGGAGAGTGTAAGTTCATGAGACCCAGGCCAACTGGGATGTACATACCTGTCCTGGGGCCTGGGAGCATGCTGGTTTATTTAGCACCCAGAGAGTGAGGCAGATTCAGTCATTCGTGCGGCAGATTTGAGCATGTCATCTGAGCCAGAAACATGATAAAGGATTTTCTCTTCTGCCTTCTCTGGGATGCCTTTAGTTAACTTATCACATTAGCCCAGCTTCCTCTCTGTTCCTTCCCTTCTTTCTGGTCCTTTCTTCTTGCTTTGAACCATGTACATGTTCTTCCTCTCCTCAGATCTGCTCTCTGTGTTTTTCTAAGTGAAATGCTGGAGAAGAAGGTACTTAAGAGGTCACTCTCTATAAACAAACTTTCCTGGCCTCTCCCTGATCTTTTATTCTCAACTCCCTATAAATATGTTAGCCTCTGGGTTTCTAGGTACAAGATTCTCGAGGAGGAAAGCTTGGGACCAGAGATACAGGGGCATCGACTGTGGTAGAGACCTAGAAGAGACAAGTAATTAGGCTCCTAGCTTATGAGGTTCTTGTGACCTGGGGAGTGCTGGGAGAAAGGTATTTTATATGTCAGAGAATGGCATCTCAGTACCCTTGGGGTCACGTGCTCTCTGTGACTCTTCTGAGCCAGCCTGCATCTCAGTAGAGCATTCTTTGAGAGCAGGGTTCTTACTGCCACTGGAGGCTCCAACCCTCTCTGGGCTTTCTTTTCTCAACAGCTTCACAGGTCATACCTGGTAACAGTGTTCTCCTCTCCACAGAGTTATGAACCAGATGAGCTGACCAAAGAGATGGCCCACCTGGAAGGACTAATGAAGGACCTAAATGCCATCACAACCGCATGACAACCTTCACCGAGACCCAGCTCCAAGCCTGAGTTTAGAAGTCTTGGAACTTAGCCTTGAAAGCAAGGAATTGTACAGAGTACGAGAGGACAGCACTTGAGAACACAGTGAGCCAGCAGATGAGCCAGCACCTCTACGTGGGGTTGGCTCCAGGCACAGGCACCTACCTTCTCCCGGTCAGCCTGGAAGACGCCCGCGTCAAGGCACCTTCCCTTTGCCTGCTGATTCCCTGTGGGGCTGGGCACCATGGGCCAAAATTCTGTGTCCAGGAAAGAGGCAAGAAGTGCAACCTGCATTTCACTTTGTGATCAGGCTGTGTCTTCATGCTGCAACTGCATCACTTTTATAGAGTGTAGACATTGGAATTTATGTACAATTTTATTTGTGTCCTATTTTATTTTGCCTTTAAAAAAAAAAAAAAAACACGTATCAAAAACCAAGGAAGTCCGTGGTGTTCTCCACAAGTGGTTGACATTTGGCTGCTTGTTCCAGTTGCATATGGAAAGTCATTGACAGTGTGGGTTGTGCCAGGGGTTGACTTGTTTTTGGTTTTGTTTGTATGTTTTAATTCTGAGATGTTGCATCCTCTACCAGCTGTTAATCCATCACTTTGAGGGGGAGGAAATGTTGCATTGCTGTTTGTAAGCTTTTTTATTATTTTTTTATTATAATTATTAAAGGCCTGACTTTCTCCTCTCATCACTGTGAGATTACAGATCTATTTGAATGATATGTAACATTGAAAAGACTTGCTTTCTGTGCAGATTCGGTATTGGGGTGGGGGCTGGGGGTTGGGAAAAGGAAATGGAGGGGCTACTGAGGTGCTGTGAATGTTTCGGTCATTGTACTTTCTTCTAGAAGCCTGCAGAGAACAGAAGCGTCTTTATTGTCCTTTCCTGGCATGTCCATCTTATTGTCACTACATTGCAACTGAAGTTTTGTTCGAATCTGGTTAAAAGCTCTTCTGTGCAATAGGTGGGTTTGAAGATGTAGCCCCCTGATGTCTTGGTCCTATCCTGATGGAAATGTCAGTGCTGAGGACCCTGGGGTTATGTTTCTAGTTGTGAAAGGGTACTAAGTAGAGCATGAGCCTGGTTCCACTCCTGGGAGTCAGAAAGCACATTTTTTTGCTGTTGGCAGTGGCTGCCTTTGGAGAGGTGGGAGCTTTGTTTTCTTCTCTGGTGCCTGTCCTCAGCCAGGCAGACTCTCACTTCCCCATTGGACAGCCCATCAGAAAAAGCATATGAGCCGAGGATTTATCTCAGCAGCATAAGTGCCTGCCTTGCAAGTGCGAGGTCGTGAGTTCAATCCCCGGTACCAAAAAAAAAAAAGCATACAAAGGGCAAGGCAAGGCCAGGCTATAGCATCCCTATGGTTCCCCACTTTCTGCACATAGTTCTTCAAGTGGCAGGAGACAGACAGCAGAGGGCCAACAGAAGCAGCTGACCCCGCATGCCAGCAGCTCAGCCAAACCCCAGGTAGAATGAGGTGGCAAGGAGTTTAAGGTATGGTAAAGGCTCGCCACACATAGCAGCTCTTGCCTTCGCAGAATTCTTACCGTCTTTTTCTTGAAAAGGTAAGGAGTTAAGATGTGTGATTGTTTTATTTTAACTATTTAGACAGTATATTGAAAAACACAGGAGTGGCTCTTAAGAATCTTCTATTCCCCAGGAGACAGTGTGGGGACAGTGAAGAGGTAAATGGGCCTGGGTTCTTAACCAACGAGACTGCCGATGCCACTAGCAGGTGTCCCCACTCACTGCCCCATCCTGCTCAGGCCTCACAGGTCCCCTGCAGGCCTGGAGCCAGCCACCTACCTTTGAACATGGGTCATTTCCCCCATCTCATGTCTTACCACACATTTTCTTTTATACAAGATGAACTTTGCATTTATGATTTAGTGAGGGCAACGTAAAGGGCACTGCAGGAACTACTGCCACGCTAGCTAGTTGCATCATGGTGCCAGGCGGGGTTCTGGACACCCAGCGCATACCATCTGATCCTGAAAAGAGCAGTCAAAGCATCCTGGCCATCAGGAGGGCTGGAGTCCCCAGAAACTCTCGTACCTTCTTGCCCAAAGAACATGCTCAGTATTTAGGGCATTCCCTCCCGTGAACCCTGACACTTCTGTTACCTCAGGGCCTCTGTACCTGGATACTGCCACAGAATTGGGGTGGGGTGGGCGAGGGACCTATTTTTAAATAAAGTGTTCAAAGTTGGAAATTTTTTAAAATTAAGAAAAAGGAAAGCTATTCTGTATTGTACCTTTTCACGGTTTAATACATTTTCTTACATTTTCCTGTGATTTTTGAAACTAAACCATTGTGTGTCTCGTGTCCTACTTAAGCTGTTGCTCAGTAGCTTCCTTCGGGTAATGTGAAACCAGTGTGTGTGTTGCCGTGTGTTGCCTGCTGGAGGGGCCCGGAGGACTGCTGGGACTGGGTTCTGTACACACTTGTTTGGCCTTTTCTGTAGTTGATGCTGTAAACTCTATGGCTTTTAAAAAAAAATTCATGTTTTTATTTTGTATTGGAAATCCAATACACTTTTTTAATCCAATCAAATTCTGGTCTGGTCAAAGAGTTATTTCCCTTTGTCCTTAAAACAATTTGGGGCCCTCTGTTTCCCAATCTCTAATTGATCTCTGTGCTTGCTTCAAAACTATTAAATCACTAATTTTAAGGGAGCCCAGGGAGGAGTAGCAGTAGCCAGGCGTCTGATTGTCTGTTAGTCCCAAAGATGAGTTCTACTCCTGTTTATACGCCGACCGTTGCTACCCTACAGGGAGTGAGCACCCAGCTTCCTCTGTGCCACACCAGACTAGCCTTCCCACACCTGACCTACCACCTTCAGTGCCTGACAACAGGCAGTGGTCTCCATGGAGACCAGGTGTTTGCCAGGCTGCCCCACCCCCTCACTGCATTGAATCTGTAAGAGCATGGGTACCCTGAGCTTGCTGGAGATAGGGCTAGATACAGAGTGTGGTATCCCGCTGGCCCCATGGTCGGTCTGCCCTGCTGACCTCAGGATGAAGTCTGAGGTCTCAGAGCTTGAAATCTGCTTGTCTCCCCTGACCTCCATGTCCAGACTCGAGCCACCTGGTGCACCAGCTTTTCTGAACACAAAAGGCTACTTGGAAGATGCTGTGTCTTTGCACACAGTTGCCTCTCCATAGCCACAGCACTCATCCGTGCTACCCCCTGGCATCCCTAGTTGGAGCTCTTCATACATTTTACAGTGATGGATTTTCCAGTTGGCCTGCAGGCTCAGTCAGGACAAGCAAATTTTCTGAACTCTTATTACCGGAGACAATGTCTGACAATAGCAGATGCTTGTCTCTTGGATGAGTGGACAAAATCTCAGGGACTCATAACAGCATAGGTAAGGCTTCCCTACACACCCTCTTAACCGTTGCAGGGAATCCCAGTCCCTTGGGTTCTGTGCCAGGACCTCCTACTTCAGCAGCTGTGGCCCTTTGCCCTTTGACAGCCTTCAAAGACAACATGGACTTAACTTTCTGACAGTGTCCTGAGAAATGATGCTGATGGTACAACTAACTTAGACTAGGAACTACAACTAGTCCTCCCCACTAGTTTTGAAATGAGCAATATGGACAAGGAAGAAGAGACACTACCCTTTCCACCCTACCAGCCAGCCCCTTCCAGTCTCAGCAGCCTTCCTGCCAAGCATAGGGAGAACCACGGGGAGAGGAACACACAGGTCACCAGATGGGTGGTCATGTGAATGTGGGCAGGGCACAGACCAGCAGCAGGGAACCAAAGTGGGAGCCACTCCAAACAGACAAAAGGACTTCAGACAGCAGGTTCCTGATTCTGAACCTTGGGTTTCCATTTACCAAGATGAGGGAGCAGTGGGGGCACTTGGAAAAGAGGTGTGAGAGAGCATTGGAAGAAAATAGTATTTTGAATTTTGCATAATACATGATGGGGAAAAATATTTACAACTATACCTTAAGCCTAGTGGGTGATATTCTTGCCAGGTACCTTAGGAATTTGATGGATTTAGGAAGCAAAAAGGAACTAGCTCCAAGCTCAGAAAGTTCGTGGGGCACACTTCTAAACATGAGAGAATTTAGAATTTTCTGGGATAATTGGGGAGGGGGGACTCGCAGCCAGCATCATCAAGGTGGTTAGAGAATGTGGGAAAGTACCCATGTGGAAACAGCTTGAGGTTTCCCAAAGAACTTTTGAAAGTGAGGATGTCAAAAATAAAAAAAAAGGTCTGAGAGACTGTTTAATGTTTACATTTCTGTAAAGCAGACCCCCTTGAAGTCTCCAAGTCTTATGTAACACCTACCGCACAAACACAGCCTTATGTGAGCTCCGGCTCACTGGGGAGCCGGAGAAAAGTCTCTGGCCAATGCAGTGGACAGTCCATGCACCTTGTGGTGCAGCAATCCATAAATGGAATTGGTTACTGGACGCAGGAGCTTGCACTCAGAAAAAGCTGAACTTGAAAATCCAGAAAAATTCAAGGGGCGAAGGGAGAGGGTGTCAGACCTTTTACAGGTCAAAAAATGGCTCCAGTCAGCATTGTCCAGTCACATTTGGTCGTTTTTATTTTTCTGCCCCTTCTATCATCCTGGAGCAGAGCCCCATAACTTTCTTATTAGGTGCCTGCCCCTCATTATGGCTCTAATCTCACCTAGAGGGGAAATGTGGGAGCCATTTAGCTCCTCCCTCAATACTGCGGCACACTGCTCAGCAAATCCCTGCCAACGCCACTTCTGCAATGTCACCTCATGTGTTAGAATCTCCTAAAGGTCTTCCTGCTTCAGTCTCACTGGTAGCCTCATGACAGTCCTCCACATGGCTGTCCAGATGCCTTGTCTAACTCAAATCTGCTATCTCCCTGCTGCTCAACATCATGAAAAAACTCCATCAGCTGCCCTACGGAACAGAATTCAACTTGGCTCTGCTGGCCTCTTCTTTTACTTCCCACTAAATCAGCCCCTTCACCTCACTTGGGTCTAGCAACAGAAAGCAGTTTGCTCTTCTGCAATCAGCTATGGTATCTGGCCTTTGCACTTTTTCCTGTGTCCCACATTTTCTCCCTATCCTCTTGCCTCACCAAAGGCTTTCTCTGTCAGGAAATATCTTTATCTTTAGAGCCCCAGTCTAACCATTCAGTCCCTGATCTTTTGGGAGAAAGGTGGGGGGGTGGGGAAGGTGGGCTTGAGACAGGGTCTCACTATGTACTTCACCTAGCCTGGAACTCACTATATAGTCCAGGTTGATCTCTAACTGATGATACCCTGCCACAGCCTCCCAAATGCTGGGATTTCATGTACATAGCACCACACCCAGGATCCCTGATCATTCTTGATCATATTTCTGTCGTCAGTAAACACACTTAAGCAAAGGAGCCATCTTTATGCTTGAATTCTCCACCCCAATGTGCTACAGATCTTCTTTAAATGAACTTGCCACATGAAGAAGATAAAACTTGAAATCAGGTAAGTTATACATCATGGCCTGGTGTGTAGGCCTGAGACAAGGCTGATAATCTTCCTGGAAGCATATCCTTAGGCAGATGTTACAGAAGAACTAAGGCTGAGCTGAGTCTGACATGATAGAAGGGCCCTGCAGGGAGCAGAAGGTACTGTAGAGCTGGGAAGCTGCCTACTTCATATGGCCATCAGCGTGCCCAAAAGAAGACAGGTCCCAGGCATCCTGTATCAGACTTGTGTTCAGGCTGCTGTCATTGGATAAAGGGCTGGAAGCCCAGCAGGCTAGTGCAGAGGTCATAAGGGAAGCACAATCCTGCATGCCTGGCCTTCAGTGGCAGAGAGAGCTGCTGCTGTCTGTCTCCAAAGCCCTAGGTTGTTCAGGGACAGTGCTGGGCCCAGTCAAGCTGGGTTTGGCAGGTCAGGTACCATACGTTGGGGTCAGTTCTAGTGAATCAAGAATAAGGTGGGCTCCTTTCATAAACTCAAAACCCAGGTCTTGTTGAGAATTCTGGGCAGCTCTTGGCTTTCTGAAAGAGGGCAGGGGGAGCCAGATCTAGTTTTGAAGGCAAAATAATAAATCAGGTTCCCATAGAGAACACTGCCTAGGAGATGGCAGGAAACCCACTCATGAACGTCGTAGACTAACACAGAAGAGCAATTGACTGGAACTCAAGCCAAAGGGATCTGGGTGTGGGCAGGATGTATAAGAGAAGGAACACTGGGGCCAAACAGGGAGGGTCTTTCTGTCACTGTTTCCAGATAGCCCTGCGCGCCAGACACTGAGGATGCAAAATGAGTGAGACAGTCCCTAACTGTTGTGTTCACAGCCTACAGGAAGGCACAGATCTTTAACAGTCAGAAACTTCCGTCCTGTGTGGAAAGTGCTAAGCAACCTGAGTAAAGTGGTCTGGAGAAGGAAGCCTCTACACCTTTTACTGGAGAACTAGGAGCCGCTAAACAGGTAACAGTGAGAATGGTAGTGAGTTTCCCTAAAAAAAAGAAGCAGGGTTTCCTCCAGCACTGCTTGAATGAGATCTCAAGCAGACAACCGACGTGCGTTTCAATGATTTGCTCCACAGAAAGTAAGACAGAGCCTTAGTACCAGACCTGGAAACTGACCACAGCATAGCACTTTGCTGCTATGAGTGACCCTTTATACCTTGCTCCTGCTGCATCCCCTGCTTTTTGTGTGATCCTCTCCGCCTATTTATCCCAACTTGTGATTTCTTCTTTGATCCATATAAGTATGACCTACGTAAGTATGTGTTTTGATCTTTGACCTACTTAAGTATGTGTTGGAGAATTTTTATATTTGTGAATTTTTCAGATTTCTTTCTGTTACTGGTTTTTGGAGTTGTTTTGTTTTTGATTTTGGTGGGGTTTTTTGGTTGTTGTTGTGGTTGTTGTTTTGTTTTGTTTTGGTGTTTTTGAGACCGGCTTTTGCTACAGTTCAGGCTGGCCTTGAACTCACTTTGTAACCCAAGCTGGCCTGAAACTCCCCATGATCCTCCTGTCTCAGCCTCCAGAGTACTAAAATTACAGGTTGCCCACCACATTCAACAGTTACTGGTTTCTAATGTCATTCTATTGTAGTCAAGGAATATACTTCATATGATTTTAATCCTTTTAAATCTACTGAGACTGATTTTGTGGCTTTACATATGCTCTGTCTTGGAGAATTTCCCATGTGCTCTTGAGAAGAATCTATATTCTGTTGTTGTTGGATGAAGTGTTCCTGAAAGGCCTATACCAAGTGGTTAGCTTGCATTTTTCAAATTTTCTGGTTTTTGCTAACCTTTGCTGTAGCTGTTCTATCCAAAGTAGAACTGTTGCATGATCTGTTTTCCCTTTCATTGTGCCATATTTACTTCATGCATTTTGGGGCCCTGCTACTATGTACACGAAGTTTTGTAATTGATAAATCTTCCTGATGGATTGGCCATTTTATCACTCCAAAACACCCTTTGTCTTTAGCAATAATTTTTGCCTTAAAGTCTACTTTGGTATTAGTATTGTACTCAAGCTCTCTTTTGGCTAATGTTTGTGTGGTATATCTTTCCACATCTTTTTACTTCCAACCTGTTTGCACCTTTG